AGGAAGGGAAAGGGAGAAAGAAATATCAATGATGAGAGAGAATCATCGATCAGCTGCCTCCTACCTGCCCACTCCTCGGGCAGCAGGCGCCCCGACCAGGTTCTGATCTGCCCCAGAGACCACACTCCCCGCGGGCCTTTGTCCTCCTGGGCCCCGGCTCCTGGGCAGCGTCGCCTCTGGAACAGCAGCGGGGCTCGGAGACATGGCCTCGCCTTCTGGTTGTTCAACTGCATCCGGGCGCTCTCCGGGCTGCTTGGCCTCGGCGAGGCCCCGGGGAGCCGGTCAGGTGACGGACTCCTGCTCCGGCCCTGGCAGCGCCTCGCACAGAGCACATCTCCGCCCGTGCACGTCCCTCCCTTCCGGCCCACAGCCCACCTGCGGGCCACGCCACGTCTATGCGGCCTTGTCTATACACAAGGGAGGGAGGCCGGGCGTGAGCAGGCCCAGCGGTCCTGCCTCAAACCAGGGCTCACGGAGAAGAGCAGGAGTCATCGCAAAACTGGCGGCAACTCCAGTTCACTGGCCTGCTGCCCGGGGAGGGTCCACCCTGGTGCCCAGCAAGGAGCCCGCCAGCCAGCTCTGCTCCCACTGAGCAGATGGAGCCACGGCCCTTCCTCATGGAGTCTGCCGAGTCAGATGGTCAGACAGCTTCCAGCCAGTGGAAGGCGGGGGGGGGGGGGGGGGGGGCGTGAGGGGGGCTTTGTTCCTTAGCCCACCCACTGGAGTGCGTCTTGTTTGCGTCCACATTCTCTTCTGAGAAGGGGAGGGTGGTGGGTAAGAAAAAGTTGAGTCCAGCTGAAACCGGTTTGGCTCAGTGGTAGAGCGTCGGTCTGCGGACTGAAAGGTCCCAGGTTCGATTCCGGTCAAGGGGCATGTACCTTGGTTGCGGGCACATCCCCAGTAGGGGGTGTGCAAGAGGCAGCTGGTCGATGTTTCTCTCTCATCGACGTTTCTAGCTCTCTCTCTTTCTCCCTTCCTCCTCTCTGTAAAATAACAATAAAAAAATGTAAAAAAAAAAAAAAGTTGAGTCCAGCAGGTATGGCTCAATAGTTGAGCATCAACCCATGAACCAAGGTGTCACTGGTTCAACTCCTGGTCAGGGCACGTGCTCAGTAAGGGGTGTGCAGTGACATGTCCTTCTTATAAAAGGCTGAATTCTCTCCCTCTCCCCTCCTCTCTCTCTGAAATCAACAAGCACATATTAATAGGCGGGGGGGGGGGGGTGATAAAAAGTTGGGAAAGCTACCCCGATACGCCATTGAGCTCGGTCTTAGCTTGGATCTTTGAAAAACTACCCCGCCAGCTTTACCGAGATACAGTCGACAAATACAAATTGTATGTATTGATGGCTTCCAGCGTGATGGTTTGATTGTGAAATGATTGCCACAGTGAAGCTGACGAACAACACATCCATCCCCTCACGGATTACCATTTATTTTTTGGGGTGAACACTTTTAAGATCTACTGTCTCAGCAAATTTCAAGTTCGCCATACAGTATCATTAACTGTAGTTCTGGAATGATTCGTCCTGCATCACTGAGTGTGTGTCATCTTGGCCCAACTCTCCCCACTTCCCCAGCCCCGGCCCAGCTGCTGGCCAGCAGCATTCTGCCCCTGCTTCTGCGAGGCCAGCTGTTTCCGGTTCCACACGCAGGTGCGATCGTGCAGGTCTGTCTCTGTGCCGGGCTTATTGCACACGGCATGACGTTGCCTACGTTCATCCAGGTTGTTGCAAATGACAGGCTTTCCCTCGTCTGAAAGGCTGAACGCTACCCCATTGTTTACATACTGTATCTTCTCTATGCAGCACGTTGCCCTCACTTATTCACCCTTCGATGCGCACGAGGTTGTGTTGCTGTCGTGGCTGTGGTGGAAAATGCTGCGGTAAGCACAGGGTGCGGCTCTCTCTTCAAGGGACCGATCCCCTTTCCTCTGGGTAAACACCCACAGGTGGGATTCCTGGATCCCACGGCCATTCTCTTCCTAATGTTCTGCGGAACCTCCATGCCGTTTCCCAAAATGTCAGATTGGATCTCCACCCCCGCCCCCCCTCACTGGGGTCTTAAAGTCCATGGCTTAGAGTCCACCCTTAGACTGTCCTGTTTGCCTTTTCGTTGTAGTTTAGAGAAATAAAGGGGGGGGGGCAGGATTAACTGTCCCCCCAGAATCATGGGGATGCAGGATTCCAATGCCATGGAGCGCTGGCTGCATGAGCTCATTTCCATTCTGTGAACGTGTGACGTATTTAGCGATTTTCTGAAAATCCTCAAAGGAATGTTTGTTTTATCGTGACACAATTAAGCAAAAACCATCTATGTTTCCACCTTCCTTTTAGCTTCCGTTTTAAGCCAGTATTATTATTTTTTAAGTCGTTCTGTGTTGGGTCCTTCTGGAGTGGATTAGGGGCCAGGAATGAGGCCACGCCAGCGTCCCGAGCGAAGTGGCTTTACGCAGGAAAGCTCCTGTGATGGTTGCCCGTGGTCAGAAGCCAGTGGAACGGAGGCCGGGAGTCCACCTCGGATCCCCGCGTGTGTGCGGGGCGCCCTCCCGGTGCCAGGGCCCTGCCTTCGAGAAAGAGAGACGTCCTCGGGGCCCCAAGATCAACAAACACCAGTGGAATCTAATTGACTCTGAAATCATAACCCTCCTTTTGGAAAACAGAAACGTTTGCATTTCTGGACAGTGGAGTCATTGACCTCCAGAAGGCACGGCTGTTTCCGCGGGCTTCCTCTTGGTGGGTGAGCGTGGGGCTGCCCGCCCTCCGAGGCCACCTCGGTCTTCCCGCTGCCCATTCGCCTTGGCACCGGCCAGCTCTGCCCCGGTGTGCGCCTTCCCCAGGCAGGATCGCTTCACGCCGTTTTCCAGTCCGGCTCTCCTGCCTTCTTCTCCGGGGGTTGGTGTCCACTTGAGCTTTTCATTTGGTCCACAATTCAAGTCTTTCTCTCCTGACTAGCTTCGTAGAGTTCCGGCTCTTCAGTGCACTCGGGGTGCTGGGGTTTTGCTTTATGGCTCCCGTTGGCAAGCTGTGTGGAAGGCGTAACCTTCAGCTCTTGTCGTTCGAACCCGAACGTGACTGATTGCGTTTGTGTCTATCCACGGAAGCCGACTCCTCCCCGGGTGGGTTAGTGTTCTTCCGGGACCTGCATCGGGACCTTCTTTCCCAGGTATTTTGCTGAGGAAGGTGTGACGCAGCTCAGCAGAAGCTTGATAGACGTGCAGGACCCAGGGCACAGCCTGACCTCCTGAACCTGCATTATTTAATTTATTTAAAAAAATTTTTTTTAAAATTAATTTCAAGAGAGGAAGGGAGAGGGAGAGAGAGATAGAAACATCAATGATGAAAGAGCATCACTGCTTGGCTGCCTCCTGCACACCCCTCACTGGGGACTGAGCCTGCAACCTGGGCATGTGCCCTGACCGGGAATGGAACCATTGATCTCCTGGTTCATAGTTTGATATTCAACCACTGAGCCACACCGGCTGGGTTGTTCCTGCATTTTGAACTCCCTAAGTAATTGGTATGTACATTGAAGTGTGAGAAGCGCAGGTTGAGTATTTGTCTTTAGGTTTTCTTATTAAAAATGACATTGTCAGGATATAAACGGACACAGTTTGATTAAGAAATAAAAATTTTTTTTCTACCATTTTATTATGAAACAATTTTAAATGATGCAGCAAAATTTTGAAAGAGTCTGCAATGAGCTCCCATAGCATCTCCCCTTAGATTTTCTGTCAAGATTTTTTTAAAAATGTATATGTTTTTATTGATTTTAGAGACAGAGCAAGGGGAAGGGAGAGAAAGATAGAAACATCTACCAACTGCCTCCCGCACGCCTCCTTTTGGGGGTCCAGCCCGTAACCCTGGCGTGTGCCCTGACCGGGAATCAAACCAGCAACCTCTTGGTGCACAGGGTGATGCTCAATCAACTGAGCCACCTTGGCCGGGCACCTGTCCAGGATTTTGTTTGCAGCACAGCTGTTAGGAAAGGTCAGATCCGGGTCATGGGGTCGCACCCTTTCACCTAGATTCCTCGGTGGGTTTGATAGCGTCACGGTCCGTGTGGGGGTTTCTTGTGAATCAGAGAAGCCTGGTGGGTGGCAGAGGGGGAGCCCTGGGGTCATGCAGAGTGGCGTGCTGGCCCTTGGCCCATCCAAACACCGGGCCTCGGCCTCCTCGTGTATACAGGGAGTGGGTGGAGAGAGGTCATCTCTGATGTTGCCCCCACCCGCGTAAGTATAGGCTCTTGTAAATATTATCATCCTCCCTGTCCCTCAGGTGGAGAAACTGATGAGCCAGTGAAATACCCGAATAATAAGGAAAACATGTGCTGGCATGGGAAAGCGATTATTTCCTAGGCTACTGAGTCAAACACAGCTGCGCTGGCCCTTCTCAGCCTGTTTTCTTGTCGATTTTCGTTCTTTCAGGAAACCTCACCGAAACATGAAGCCCTCAGCCACCTGGAACTCAGAAACCCACTGGGGACCAACCACGGCGGCTTCTGGAACATCCAGGTGTCCGGCAGATGTGAGACTGGGCCCTGCGCTCAGCAGCTGGAATCCCGACCAGATGCGAGACGTGTGCTTCGGCTCTGACATCCTGGGCCACGGCGGGGTCTCTTTCTAATCGGCCGCAGGGCCGTGGTGGACGCTGACATCCAATAGCCGCACGCAGCCAGCCCCCTTGGGGGAAAGCTACATTTGGGGGCGCAACTTTCCCAACTTTCTTGAGTTGGGATTCTAGATGAGGGCCTCATTTCTGCAGCTCCCACCTTCCACGTAGGCACCGTCACCACCACCACCACCACCACCACCACCACCACCACCAAAACATTGGGCCTCAGCACCCCCATCCTTCCAGTGAGGGCGTGGCAATATCTTCTTGCAACACACCAACCTCCGGAGACGTCCTGCGTTGAGAGTGAGCAGAAGGGGACTCTCGGAGACGCCTCTCGTGGTGGCCCGCCATCGTTCCGTAGAGCTGAAACCCTCCCTTCCCCACCATGGCCTGGCTCTTTCTAAAGGTTTTGTTGGTGGGGGTGAGTTTCCTGAGTTGCCTTTATCCTCTTGTGGATTTTTGCTTCCGTGGGGAAGCAAGAGCCCAGAGGCCCAATTTCGTGATCATTTTGGCAGATGACATGGGGTGGGGAGACCTGGGAGCGAACTGGGCAGAAGCAAAGGACACTGCCAACCTTGATCAGATGGCCGCCGAGGGAATGAGGTGAGTTGAGGATCCTAAGTCCTAATCTATATGTAAAAGTCCAAGCGACCGAACGACCGGTCAACCAGTTGCTAGGACGTGCATTGACCACTAGGGGACAGATGCTCAACCCACAGGATTGGGCTTCCTCCTGTCCGAATTGGACCTGTGGGGATCAGGCTCCCTCCTGTCTAGATCCGGCCTGCAGGAATTGGGCTGAAACTGGCTATCCAACATCCCCTGAGGGGTCCCAGATTGCCAGAGGGTGCATGCCAGGTCAATGGATCCCACCAGGGCATGAATCTGTGCACTGGACCTCTAATTATATATATATATATATATATATATATATATATATATATATATATATATATATAAAATTTATTTCAGAGAGGGAAAAATAGAAGCATCAATGATAAGAGAGAATCATATAGGTTGCCTCCTGCATGTCCCCCACTGGGGATCGGGCCTGCAACCTGGGCATGTGCCCTGACCAGGACTCGAACCATGACTTCCTAGCCCATAGGTTGACGCTCTGTCACTGAGCCACGCTGGCCAGGCAGTCCATTTCTTTTTGGATGTGTTACTTGCCTCTTTTGGGGGGAAGGGACAGCATTTGAAGAGCAATTAATGGGTCCATGTTGATTTAGTTATGTGATTGATTAATGTGGTATGAAGCCAGTCCATCCATCTATCTGATAACATTCAGAATCGGTGTGTGTTAGGAAATCGAATACCAAGCTGAACAAGATAAACACCCTTGCCCTCGAGGTACTTATTGTCTGGATCTGGAGACAAGTTCAGTGGAAAATAAGGATTAGGATCAAGTATGTGACTCTGGACTTCCAGGGGAGGGGTTGGAACCCAGCCTGGGGGTTTGAGGGAGAAGATGACCTTCAAAAAACAGAATCCAGGAAGCAGAGAAGGTAAGAGGATTGACTGGCGAGGTGACTACTTAGGCACACTTACCCCAGAGGGTCTGTGTCTGAACGGACAGAAGTGTTCCTTAGTTTTTTGTTCAAATGCCTAGTCCCTCCCCACATAGCTAGAACACAAGTATCAGCTTTCAACCCTTTGGGCCTTCTTCTCGGGCTGACCTTGATCTGACTGGCCGGCTCAGGTCCCATCTGCCCTGGGTTGCTCCTCCATCTTGCTCAGTGGGGCCGCTCCCGCTCGCTGTGTGGGACGATGCGGGGGCATCTCCACGGAGCTCCGGCCACTCGCACCCGGGGCCGGGAGTGCCCCCTGAGCTGTGGGCCCTTGGGGTCCCACCTGTACTCTCACCTTTCCAGTCCACCCTCCTCATCTCAGCCAAGGGGACCTCTCCAGAGACATTCCTCTGCTTCCAGTCCTTCAGAGTGACCCCGTGTCCCTAAGGATAAAATCCACACTGTTCTGCAATGCCCCTCTGGCTTGCAGCTGTCCTCACCTGTGAGATTACTAGTGCACTTCCCACTTCCTCTGTTGAATTAGTTTCTACTCCCTGGGTTCCAATTCCACGCGCAGTCCTCAGGAGAGCCTGCTCGGATGCCTCAGGTGAGCTTGCCATTGCCCCTGCAGCTCTCCATGGCGGTCATCTAATCACCTGAACACCTGTGTGGGTTCAACAGCGTCCACCCCACATTCATGTCCACCTGGAACCTCAGAACATAACCCTCTATGACAACAGGGTCTTTGCAAATGTATGTGAGGATTTTGAGGATGTCCTATAGGATTGAGGATGGGTCCTAAGTCCACTGTAAGAAGAGAGGGCGCCGAGACTGGTTTGGCTCAGTGGATAGAGCGTCAGCCTACAGACTGAAAGGCCCCGGGTTCGATTCCGGTCAAGGGCATGTACTTCGGTTATGGGCACATCCCCAGTAGGGGATGTGCAAGAGGCAGCTGGTTGATGTTTCTCTCTCATCACTGTTTCTAACTCTCTATCCCTCTCAATCCCTCTCTGTGTAAAATCAATAAAATATATAGATAAAGAAGAGAGGGCGCAGAGAGTCACACAGCGATGTGCAGATGGAGGCGGAGATGGCAGAGGTGCCCACCAGCCAAGAACACCAAGGGTTGCTGGCCACCACGGGGAGCTGGGAGCGAGGCTTGGATCAGATTCTCCCTCTGAACTTCCAGAAGGAGCTGACTTCTCACCTCCTGAGCCGGGAGAGACTAAATTCGTCATTTTAAGTCACCTCGTTTGTGGCCATTTGTTACGGTGGCCACAGGAAACTCATACGCCCGGATCCTAGCTCTGGGCATCAGGAAGAGAAGCGCCTTATCCATTCTTCCCCTTTATATTCTTAGCTCATGACACCATGCTTGTCACATAGTAGGCAATTCATAAATCTTGGCTCATCCATAAATGGGCTTTAGGCATTCATAACGCTTGCCTCGAAATGTCACCCCACATTTCCCACATGGAGATTTCTTTCAGGGGAAGGAGTTAAAGGAAAAGAGGTTGCAAAAGCTTGGGAACTTGTGCTTTTGGTGGTGAGTGGGTTAGTGGGGAAATGGATATGTGTGTGTGTCGGGCGGGGGAGGGCTGGATATTCTTAGGGTCTGTCCCCACCTGCACACTCTCCTCCTGAGAAATAGGAGCCTCGGGGACAGAGGTAGCAGAGTGCGGTGAGCTCAGCGAGTTCCTTCTCCCATGAATGGAAATACTTTCTCCCCCGGAGCCTTGTGACGCCCGGCAGACGGCCCTCTGGCCCGAGGTCCTGGGCCTCTCACTCTGGGCTCGGCTGACAGGAAGGCGGGCTTCCTGTGTGGCGGAGGATCACTCTCCCCCTGGCTGCTCCCCCTGCTGCTCCTGCCAGCGGGGAACCAGGGCTCCCAGACCAGAACGCTGACTGCCAAACTGGGAGACTCGAGAACAAATCTTTTCTATTGTCTTTTTTAACGATTAGCCTATTCGTTTCCTAGGACAGGCTCAACCAATCACCACAAACTGGATGGCTTAAAGCAGTGGTCGGCAAACGGCGGCTCGAGAGCCACATACAGCTCTTGGGCCCCGTGAGTTTTTATATATGAAGTTAATAACAATGTACCTACCTATATAGTTTACGTTTAAAAAATGTGGCTCTCAAAAGAAATGTCAGTCGTTCTGTTGATATTAGGCTCTTGTTGACTAATGGGTTTGCCGATCCCTGAGCTAGAGTAACTCTATGCTGGAATGCTCCCCCTTCCTGCTTCACCTCTTCTCTGCCCGCAGTTTAATTCTCCTTAAGTCGGTGCAGTGGCTGAGACTTCCAGGTGATGGCGGAGCTAGAAATCCAAGGGCAGTGCTGGCCCCTGGGAGGTCAGAGGCTGTCAGGGGCTTAGGCTGTTTCTGAAAAGGCCCCCAGCAAGGAGTGAGCTGAGCTGCCCATTCAGCCAAGCACTCGATTGGATTTCTGCTCTCAGCATTGGCTTTCGCAACTATTCCTCCATCCCATTACCTCTCAGGGCTGCCTCAGCCCGCTGCCGGCCCTGGGGTTCGCAGGAACCTAGAGGAAGAGGAGAACCAGGCTGGCACCCAGAGCTGCAGGAGAGTGGAATGAGGTCTGGTGGATGCCGGGAGAGCTAGAACTTTCTGAAGGAGACCTACGCCAGCAGGAAGAAGGCGCTCCCCCCACCATGGAATTCCCATCCAGCTTTGCCCCCTCAGACTCAGGGCTGAGGACCTTCATCAGGGACACAGCCTCTGGTGCTGTGACCTTTGTCGTGAACTCTGAGCTGGTTGCTTGGGGAGGTCCCGGCCTCCTTGTAGGTGCTCAGCGCCATGGGGCAGGCGATTGTACGTCGTTGCTATTGGGTAAGAAGGTCAGGAGACGTAGAAATCACATCCTGCCCGCCCGGGGCAAGGGGGAGCCTTTGGAATGGTGCTGCGGGCTTTAACCTCGCATCTGCCTCAGTGGATGGGGACATCCAGGCACACGATGATCTGGATGGCAGCTAATCTTAGAGAAAAGGAACTGAGATAGAAACCTGCGAGGCCTTGGGGCCCGCGTACTTCACAACTGCAAGTTCAAAACAGCTGCCTGGTAGCTCTCATTCGTTCCGCGTCTAAGCCTCCCCACGACATTCATTCAGCGATGAACCTCTACTGAGAGCAACTCCTGAGACAAGGCCGGGACACCCCAGCCAGCTCTGCCCTCCACAGCTTGCAGTCCTCTGGCCAAAAGAAGACAAGAAACCAGCATTTGGCATGCAGAAGGCGATGCGCCGTCAGTGCAGGAATTGTGACATGTGACCCATCCTTCATGACCCGAGTTTACCTCCTACAGGACGGAATTAGCACAAGTGCCCACCTATGCACCTGGAGGTCACAGTTGGATTCCTGGTCAAGGGCACATGCGTTGGTTGTGGGCTCGATTCCCAATAGAGGGCGTGCAGGAGTCAACCGATCAATGATTCTCTCTCATCATTGATGTTTCTATCTCTCTCGCTTCCTCTCTGAAATCAATAATAATAATAATAATTAATAATAATGAATGTCCACGCTGGGTTTCTCACCTCTGGGTGATAAGAGCTGAATTCCTCAGAGCTGCATCATATTGGAGACAATGCTATGGGATTGTAAGGAAAGAAAGGTCATTTCTCCTCAGGGAAGCCACGGCGTACTCCATAATGCTCATCTGTTAGGAGGCTGGGAAGTCCAAGGTCAGGTTGCTGGCATGGCCAGGTTGTGCTGAAGTGAATGCCGAGACCTTAAAGATGAGTAGGCATCAGCCAGATGAAGGGAGAGGAAAGAGTGTTGTAGGCAGAGGGAAAAGCATGAACAAAGACCCACAGCTGAAAGGTGCCCATTCCTAGCGGCTCCCCCAGATACTGTCCTCGGTGCTGGGAATGTATGAGTGACCCAAATAATAGGAAGCCCTCACTCTCCTGGCGCTGGCTGGCATCATAGTGGTTGACTATGGCTGGGACAGGGAGCGTGAGGCTGACCTAGTGGGCAAGGGGGTGGTGAAGGGCATCGTGTGCATGCTCAAGTGTTTGACTTTGATCCTGAAGCCAGTGGGCAGCCCTGAGCACTGAGGACAACCACCTGCATTTGA